TGAATATTTTGTGATAGTTTGTGTGTGTGTGTGTGTGTGTGTGTGTGTGTGTGTGTGTGTGTGTGTGTGTGTGTTGCTGGCATTCTAGGCAAGCACTGTACTACTTAATTTCACTGCAGCCCTGTGTTTCAGAATATCATTAATGTTGGCAATAAGAGTTTAACAATTATTTGATTTTGTACTATTTCTCGATTTTTAAAAAAATGTTACTGTAGTATATAACTTAAGGTGGCTGGAGTCTGTTTTATGAAGGTTTACTATTTGATATTGTACTCTTTCATTTGTATTTGAGTCTGTCTAATTTTAAATAAAAGCTTTATACATTTGGGTGCGACATCTGGTTATTTCAGTGATCAGTGGCCATGGTTATTACTCACTGTGCTCACAGTTAATGTGTAGGTAAAGTTCAGAACAGTTTTGTGTCAGAAAGTTCAGAGTGTTGACATTGTATAAAGAGCGTATGAGAGTCGTTTCCAAAGCATCGCTCTTTCTTGACAAAGGAAGCATGGGGACTTTATCCAAGGGACCTATACATATTCGTATGAGGGTGAGTCCAGGAAGCATGCCCAGTTAAGGAGAACATTCCTGAACATGATCAGTTTAACGTCGTAATATAAAAGAAATGATAGACCCATTATTTTAAATGTGCTCAGCTCTAGGTCATGCTACAGTGATGCTACAGTGATGGACAGAGATGCCTCTGGGCAACTACAAAGTTGTATAAATAATTTTTGGATGACAGTTTTGCTGTTTTTTTTTTAAGATTTATTTTTATTTTATGTGTATGGGTATTTAGTTTGCATGCGTGTCTGTGCACCACATGTGTGTGCTTATAGAGGCCAGAGAGGGTATTGATCCTCTGGAACTGGAGTTACAAATAGTTGTGGGACACCATGTATGTGCTGGGAACCTACCCTGGGTGCTCTTAACCACAGAACCATCTCTCCATCCCTGTACCAGAACGTTTTAGCTGAAAATAATAGAATGTATGTTTTTTTTTTTTTTTTTTTTTTTTTTGGTTTTTCGAGACAGGGTTTCTCTGTGTAGCTTTGCGCCTTTCCTGGGACTCACTTGGTAGCCCAGGCTGGCCTCGAACTCACAGAGATCCGCCTGGCTCTGCCTCCCGAGTGCTGGGATTAAAGGTGTGCGCCACCACCGCCCGGCAGAATGGATGTTTTGAAGGTGTATTAACACAGGCCTTTGCCCCTGAAGGTGCCCTGCCTTTCATAGTCACTAAGAGATGCCTTTTGGCTGGTGATCTGTGATTATTTCTGCACACAGCATATGATGCCTATGTCTGTGCCTAAGTGATCATGATAGGCTATGCCTGGCACCCCATACTCTTTTTTTTTCCTTCCTTCTTTCCTTCCTTCCTTCCTTCCTTCCTTCCTTCCTTCCTTCCTTCCTTCCTTCCTTCCTCTCTCTCTCTCTTTTTTTGAGACAGTAACGCAAACAATAATAGGTCCAGCCTATATTGTTTGCTCCCAGGGTCCGTGGAAGAGTCTAACAACCAGTTGAGGATTCTAATCTGAGGGATATTCAATGAATCTAAGCACACTGAGTTCTTTTTTTTGGGGGGGGGGGTTTCGAGACAGGGTTTCTCTCTGTAGCTTTGGAGCCTGTGCTGGACTAGCTCTGTAGACCAGGCTGGCCTCGAACTCACAGAGATCCACCTGCCTCTGCCTCCCGAGTGTTGGGATTACAGGCGTGCGCCACCACCGCCTGGCTGCACATTGAGTTCTTTAGTCTTTATTCTTCTAAGTTGATTCTATCTACACAGTTTCTTTTCTCCTCTCTTACTTAGCTCCTCCCGGTCCCTCCTGCTCTCAGTCCCTCCTGCTGTTCTCTCATCATTCTACCTAGTTCTTTCCCTCTCTGTCCTCATCTTTGTTCTTCTCCATCAATTCTCCCAGTGCTCTCAGAGAACCAGTATATATACCCAAGCAGGAATTCTTTGGCAAAGCAATGCGAGGCTTGAAGTTTTCAGGGTCACGGAGAGAGGTGATAAGGATCCACACATAAAGCAGTAATTGTCAGCTTCCAATTACAACCCAAAAGGGGAGTGACTAAAGGGGAGTTCTCTGGTAGGGTCAACTAAAGGCTAAGATCAGTTAGGGAATTTATGTGCTCAAACTATAATCTAGAAATGCTAGGTAGAATGTTAGGGGTCAACAGGTCACCAGAAAGTAAACTGTCTTTGGCGCCACTTTTCCCGCTCATCCCAGCTGCAGCTGCTTTCTGATAGGGAGGGGGACATATGCTCAGTGGCTAAGCAACCTATGTCAGAGCGCGTAGTATTCGGTTAGTAAAAGCACTTTCACTCAGAGTAACTGCTGAGGAGAAAATCTAGGAATAGCACCTGGCTGAGGAGGAATAAAAACTTAATTTGCACAAGAAAGAAGCTTGGCACCTATTGCCTGCCTGGCCTGGAGGCAATCTTCTTGGGTCAGTGGGAAGTAACTGCCTTAACTCAGTATCTAGCAAATGGCTAAAACTTCATCCCAGGAATGGGAGCAGTAAATCTCTTAAGTTAGGGTCTTGTGTAAATAACCCAGGGTGAAGGTAAGGAGTTAAGGATTTAATTGTTAGTGTTTTTTTTCCCTCTCTGTGGGTGAGATGAGCTAATGTTTATTTCTCTGCATTTGTCCTTGGAAAAAGGTATCTTTGCTGAAATACTTTTGTCCGGAGAATGGCTCTGGCCAGATATATGTTAATGAAAAATAAACACAGCTGGGGCCAGCTATCCAATTACCCCAAATGTATAGGGAAAGTTGTGCCCAAGATTGAGATGCAGTCGTGAGATTACATGTACACTAACATGGAAATGCACGGTAAATGGGGAGAATCATAGCTGTTACTGCACAAGAAGTTTACAACAAGAGGCAGCCAATTCATTCAAAAGGCAGTAATTCCAGAACGCCTTGCATGATGGTTTCCTCTAACAGAACCCTTAGTTCTGATAGGTTGGCCTTCTGAACTCTAGTTGTCACTGCTGTATACTCTCATGGACTTTTGCTACCAGTGGCTCTCAATAAGACAGGGCCTCACAGTGTAGTTCTGGCTGTCCTGGAACTCACTATGCAGACCAGGCTGGCCTTGAACTCATAGAAATCCACTTGCCTCTGCCTCTGCCTCCTAGGTACTGGGACTAAAGGTGTGTACCACTGTGCCCAGCTGACACCGTACTCTTGAGCTGTGGTGGGTGTCCTGGTCCCAGAAGGTAGTCCCAACAGAGACAAGTAGCCAGGGTCAGGCCAGCAACAGTTATCAAGTTGTGGCTTACCCGAGAGCTGATGAAGCGCTGAACAGCTGAAGAGCCTCCAGGGCAGGAAGAAGGGAAGTGGAAGTAGAGAAACCAGAACTGAAAGCTGGTAAAAAAAGGCTGTCAGGAACCAAAGAAGAGAACATGCTAGCCCTGGTCTCTAGTACCAGAGAGCTAGCACATCCTTAGGCCAGAAGGTCTCAGCCCCCTGGCTGAGAGTCGTAATAGAGGCTGCTTGTCACGGGCTAAGCGTCCCGATCAAGGACTCTAACATAGTAGGGTTCTGATACTCACGGCATGGACTGAGACTAACAGTAGAGGATGCCACCTGCTGCCACTCACTGCTGCCCAGCCAGTGCATGACAGAGGAAATGGAAACCTGTTCACCCAGCTGACGGTGACAATGGGGATCAAGCCCGGAGCCTTGAACATACCAGAGATCGGGTCTACTACTCACTTAGTTCCTAGCCTCAGAAGCTATACTTTGTTTCGTTTTTGGAGCTATGGTTTCTCTGTGTAGCCCTGACTGTCCTGGAACCCACCATATAGACCAGGCTGGCCTCGAACTCGGAGATCCGTCTGCCTCTGCTTCCTGTGTGCTGGGATTAAAGCACCAGCACCACCTGGCAGAATCTATACATTCTTTTTTTAAAAAAATTTTAATTTTTAGGGGAATCTATACATTCTTTTTTTTTTTTTTTTTTTTTTTTTTTGGTTTTTCGAGACAGGGTTTCTCTGTGTAGCTTTGCGCCTTTCCTGGAACTCACTTGGTAGCCCAGGCTGGCCTCGAACTCACAGAGATCCGCCTGGCTCTGCCTCCCGAGTGCTGGGATTAAAGGTGTGCGCCACCACCGCCCGGCCTTGAATCTATACATTCTTAATGTAGTTTTTTATTAATCCTTTAGAACTCCATGCAATGTATTTTGATAATTTTCACCCTCAACTCCCTTGCGATCTACTCTCAACTCCCTTCACTAACTGTACCGCTCTCTTAAAAAAAAAAAAACCCAACAAAAACCAAAAAAAAAAAAAAAAAAACCCCAAAACTCATGTAGTCCAATTTGTGCTGCCCATACACTCACAGGTGTGGGACCATCCACTGGAGAGTGGCTGACCTACCAGGGCCCATACCCTTAAAGAAAACAGTATCTCCTTTCCCCAGAAGCCACTAACAGCTCTTCAGTTAAGGGTGGGTACACAAGAACCCTTCCTCCCGCCATGCTTCAATGTTGGTTTGATTTTGTTCAGGTCTTGTGCGGGCGACCACAGGTGCCGTGAGCGTATTAGTGCAGTGGTCCTGCCATGTCCTGAAGACAATTGTTCTGCTTCAGTCCTTCCTGACCCCAGGCTCTCACAGAACTGTGGTCAATAAATATAAAGATAATTAGTGCCAGTTGTAATTCATATTAATTCTTCTTCAACCTGAGGACACAGCCTGACGGCATGTCTCCCCCCCGCCCCCCTCGCCCGCCCCATCCAGTATTTTTTTCTCAGATTAAAAGATTAACTTCCAAGGCCAGGCTGGGCTACCAAGTGAGTTCCAAGAAAAGGCGCAAAGCTACACAGAGAAACCCTGTCTCGAAAAACAAAAACAAAAAACAAAACAAAACAAAACAAAAGATTAACTTCACTGTGCTCTATGAACTTTCGAGAAACACAGCAGAGTCAGGGATGTCTTTTATTCCACAAAGGCCCTTCTGTCCTCTAGGGACCCCTCTCAGCTCCTCCTCAGATTCGCCAAACTGCTTCTGCCGTTTCTCCAGTTAACATGTCCAAACTAGGAAAAACGAGAATTGAAGGATGGGTTGGGTGGAGTATTCTGGCACTTTTGCCAAGAGATTAACTTCAAAGCAATGAAGCGTCAAGGCTCTGTTATCTCCATCCTCGCGTTTGGGAAGCCGTGGTTCTCTGGTACCAGGAACCAGCAACTCCACCGCTGCAGGGACGGCGTTGTGCTTAGTTCTTAGGCAGAGAAGATCCTGCTGAGGGAAGCTCCAGGGAAATGCTGATGTCCTAAGGTCATTAGTATTTGGGTCTCCAGAGGGGACCAGCTCTCGGGCCAGAGTGAGGGAGGTGCACAGTCACCAGAGTGCAAGAGCCCTGTGGTGGCGGGATAGCATTGGCAGTGCCAATTCCTTGTCCTCGCCTCGGGGCACAGCACCCAGCTCGCGCGGCTGTCAGTCAACATCCCTGCCCCGCCCCTCCCGTAGTCGGACCAATCGTCGCCGGGGGGTCGGGGGTGAGGCTCCGGTAGCGGGGTCAGGAAGCCGGGAAAGAACGGCCTGACGCCGAGGCCACCGATCAGAGCGTCCACACATCCTGTAGGAGGGCCAGCGGCGGGTTAGGATCGGGACCGGGTGAGTGCGAACTGCGACTGTGCGCGGAGCGGGGCGGAGCTTGTCCCGGGAGCGCCGGGTGCCGCGTGCCTCGCGCGCCCCTCGGCTGCAGAGAGCCCTGTGTTCCACGCTGGGATCCCCGCGTCCCTGGTGACCCCCAGCTCCGGTGTGGGGAGCTGCGGCCCCGGGAGTCCGGACTGCGTGCCAGGGCCCTGGAGCAGAGGCCCCGACCGAAGGCGCAGGCAGAGCTTCAGCCCTGGGCTGCGGCAGCCTGGGACCGGAGGATCAGAGCCGCTGCAGAGATGGGGCGGGGCGAGGCTGAGCATCTCCATCCTCAGTTTCTCCACTTGCAGCAGCGCCCCTGCATCGGGTAGCGGGCACCTGAGGTGGCCGGCACCCGAGAACGCAGCCAAGCCCCTCTACGCCCCATCCCACCCCGTAACTCCATTCTCTTCCCACACCCAGTACCGAGAGCTTGGCGACACAGCTCACAGCCCCTATGGCTAGTCTCACCGCTGCTCTGGGAGCCAGCTGTCTCTTGGCTGGTTGTCCTGTCGTACTTGGGATTACTCTGGCCTTACTGAGCTGCAGTTTTGGGAGGCATCAGGGTAATTATGCAGGGAGAAACCAGTGCGTGACCGAACTCAGTGTGATGTTGAGATCTTGGCTTGTGGTCCATTGCTACTTGACCGAAGTCCGGAAGGGCAGTGATGCTAAGACAGGTTACGAGGCAGGATTTTTGCAAAATGAACACGAAATTGTAATTTTCCCCTTGCTTTTTTCATCGTTTGCTTCGAAGGAAGAATGTTGCCATGTTTCCAACTGATAAAAGAGTCCCACTGCTCCGGTGGTCGTGGCCTCCTCTTCCCACTGCCATTATTTGTTATTTGGAACAGTAGGGTGTGTTTGGAGCTGGCAGAATGCCCGAACCCTTGGACTGTCTGATTCCTCTCCAGGGAACGGCACATCATACTTTAACTCTGCAGTGCTGGGCTCTGCCCGCTTTGGACTGGGTTTACCATTTTCTTTCCATGTCTGTTATTCTTCTATCTCCTCTGGGTTGACAAAGTGCTGTACTTTGTTACTGTGCAAGGAAATGAAGGGATAGGTCAGTGAAGAAGGATTAGTTGTCCCTAGTACCCAGAATGGAGTTGTCCCTAGAGAACGCCGTGAGGCATCATTCAAAATTCATTTTAGTGCCACCAGCCCTTGCCAACTGATGTAAGGAATATCCCTTGGCTACTCTATTTATGGTTCTTCTACTTGACTGTGTACTATAGTTATCTAGGGACCGTTAAGGAACAGTATCGGGCCCCTTCCCATAGATTCTGGTTTAGTTTGTTGTATGGGCCCAGGGCCTCACATTTTAAAAGTGTCCACGATGATTGTCAATGCGCAATGGCCTATTTCTCTCCTTCAGAGCACTTTATTTTGCGTGACTTACTAAGCTTCTCCATCTGCCATGCAGTCTCCATGAATGCATTGGGTCCTGCCTTGGGACACTCCAATTGAGGAGGTCTAGGTGAGTCAGCACTTTGGGTCATTTCACGTGGGGTACAAGAAATGGAAGCGTCATCTGTGTTCACAGTTTGATCTTGGATGGATCTCCAGTTCTTTCTGTTAAATCTGTTAAATTTTATTCCGTTAATCTCAAGTTTTTTGTTTTTTCTCTTTATAGCCCTGGCTGTCCTGGAACTCACTATGTAGACCAGCCTGCCTCTGTCTCCTGAGTGCTGGGACTAAAATGGTGTGTCACGATGCCTGGCTATTTCCCAATATTTCTAAACTTCAATTTTTAATTTTAGAAATCAGTTTTCTCTTCTGCAACTATTATTTCCAGATGACTCTGAGCATTTTAGTGTGAGGTCTTTGCAAAGACAGATCTCTATAGACTCTCAGGCAGTGTCTAGTTAGGTAGGGCTCTATGTGCCAATAGAAATCTCCAGCCATAATGGGTGTCTTGTATTGCTCTGCGGCCCAGTAGTTCTCTTAGCTTTGGAGTCCTTTACCCTCCGTCAGCATTACTGACCACTGCTTTGCTGCCGCTTCTTGGCTCTGACTCACACTGATATACTCTGAGAGGCTCCCATTTGTGTAAACCCACAGACCACACCCACCCATGATGCAGCTCAACTTCTGTGCATCCTTGGTCTTCCACTCTGAGCACCATCAGGAAAACCTATGACTTTCATGGCCAGCTCCTTGAGAAGACTTTCTGTCATAGAGTACGTGGGGTCCTGGTGACAGAGTTATTCTTTGTTTTCATAGCTGTGGGCTGCTCAGAATTCATGGACACTTTAGGGTGGGTGAGTGCCTTGGTAAGGGAGAATGGCACTGAGGTGGGGCATGTGATGGTTCAAGTTAGTTTTGACATTGTGTGGAGTGGTTTAGAAGGGTGAATTTATTTATTTATTATGTATACAGTATTCTGTACTGCATGTGTCCTTGCAGGCCCGAGGAGGGCACCAGATCTCATTACAGGTGGCTGTGAGCCATCATGTGGTTGCTGGGAATTGAACTCAGTGCCTCTGGAAGAGCAGTCAGTGCTCTTAACCACTGAGCCATCTCTCCAGCCCCAGAAGGGTGAATTTATTGCCTTTTCCATCTTGTATCTTCTCTCCCCTTCCTCCCTCCAGAACCTGGGGCTGTGCATTCTAGGCAAGCACTTATTATTTATATCCCCAGCCCACACTCCTCTTCAACAAAGGAATTAACTCACTCTAACATGAATGTCAACTTTTAAAAGGGAATTTCTGGCCCTCGGTACAGTGTGTTACAGAATGGACCTCTGTAGCATATGTTTTATGGATTGAATTAATGTGTGTCATGTAAACAGCTAATACTGTGGGGGAACTGAAAAACAAAATATTAGGCCAGGCATTGTGGTGCACGCCTTTAATCCCAAGCACCTGGGAAGCAGAGGCAGGTGGATCTCTGTGAGTTCTTGGCAAACCTGGTCTACATAGAGAGTTTCAGGCTAGCCAAGGCTACATAGTGAGACCCTGTCTCAAATAACAACAACAATACATCTCAAAAAAGAAAAAGTATGAAATATTATCATTAAGTTGCTTTTATTAAGTAGCTTCTTTCTTTTTTTTTTTAAAGTATGGTCATTGATGGTTAAAATGGCGCTGGGGGGTTGGCGGGATTGGCGGGGTTGGCAGAAAAGTCACGGGCCATGGCTACCAGAGTTAGAAAGAGCTTTATTAGAAAGAAGCCAGGCCTGGAGAGGAAGGAAGATGGCTGGAGCAGAGCGGGAAGCACAGAGAGGGTGGGGGTCCGCCCCCCTGATGATCTAAGACGTTAGACCCAAGCTGTGCATGTACAGAATCTTAACGTTCCAGACTTCTGCTTATTATAAAAAAAGCAAGTAAATAGGAATAGGGGTGTCGTTTCTCCCAGAAAAACTGCTTCGAGCTGACTTGGTGGGCGTCAGTTGGCTCTTGGGGGGGTATATGGGCTGTCCTGCTGCTCTGGAGCCGTCCATCCCTCTTGGCTTGGCACTCTGGCTGCTTTTGTGTCTGACAGGATGCTGGTGAAACAGGAAAAGCCTAAAGTAGGTCCCACCTGTCCAGATAGATTTTAGCTGGTTTCTGGAGCTTGGGAAAAATTTTGAACATCTTGAGAAGCAGCCATGAGAAAATTAGTGACCATGGTATCATTTAGTACTCTGCTTGTATTGGTTAGTGTTAATGAGAGAGACAGAGAGATTGGAACATGTTAAGCTTTATCAGAGACAGATTGTTTTAAGGCATCTGTTTCCTTTAGTAGTTTAGCATCCAGGAGACACAGGTGATCAATTGTTGAAAGCATTTAATAGTAATAGATGGTTATATTAAAGTCTGTTTTTGCAGAGCCCAGACGCTTTTGGGTCTGGGGGTGTAAATACCTTTTAGCTGTTACAGTTTCTTACTTGATGGTCTCTGGACTCCAGTTCTGTGGTGGTCCTGTACCTTTAGCTGAGCAGTGAGTTAAACAGGGAACTGGGAAGAGAAAAGCTTGTGGTGCATGAGAACTTATTTCTTTGGAATTAGGGACAAGGCAGAGATCAGGGCCCTGTCTGTGTGCACGAGGATGAGAAGCACAGGCGGGTGGGTCTGGAGTGAGGCACATGGAAGAAGCAATGGAATAAAAGCTCCTATCTTAGCTGGAAAATCTTTTCCCATTAAGTAACCCTGAAAGTGCAATTAAATCTGGTGAGGTGGGTAAGGCTGTCCTCTCTACCCCGACAATAGGGAAACGAGGAGATACCCCAAAACTCCCAGGACTGGGTCAGTGGCTCTGGTGTCCAGAAGGAAAGAAAAGGATCGCTTCCATACTGTGTTCTGGGTTCCCTTCGAGCCTGTGGCCAAGCCTAGGTCTGCTGGAGGTCTTAGCTTGATGTTCCCATGTCATCTTGGTGCTTGGGGGCAGTCAGTCTTTCTAGGTGGCACCTTCAACAAAGCTCAACTGATAGCCTGGCAGAGCACTTACTAGCCCGCATGGCCTTTTTTCTCACTTAAAACAGGGAAACTCATTAAAGAGGTGTAAGTGTATAAATTTAAAAGACATTATAAGATAGTTCTGTTAGTAATATAAATTAGGATAAAAAATGAATCAGGTACATTTTGGACTTACCAAAATAGGATAGATAATGGAATATTTTCTCTGAGTTTGTCAAATGCAAATGGACTAGACATTGTTGAGGTATTTATTGCTTGTATATATTGTATATAGTTATTGTACTTATTGTATATAGTTTTTCTTATATTAGTTATAACTTTTTTCTTTTCTCTTTTTATTAGAATAATAAGGGGAAATGTGGTGATATTTTAATTGTGCTGAAATGTGATTTTATTTGTATGTTAATAAAGAAAGTTTGCCTGGAGATCAGAGGTCATAGCTAGCCAGGAACAGAAGTCAGGCGGTGGTAGCCCATGCCCTTAATCCCATCACATGGCAGGCAGAGTCTCTGTGTGTTCAAGGACACAGCCAAGTGTGGTGACACGAGTCTTTAATCCCAGTACCAACCGTAGAGACCTGGAGGTCTGTATAGACAGGCAGTGACATGCTGTGGGATGTTCTGTATAGCAAATGTGTTGCTGATTGGTCAATAAATAAATCACTGATTGGCCAGTGGCCAGGCAGGAAGTGTAGGCGGGACAAGGAGGAGAATAAAGCTGGGAAGTGGAAGGCTGAGTCAGAGAGACACTGCCAGCCGCCATGATGACAAACAGCATGTGAAGATGCCGGTAAGCCACGAGCCATGTGGCAAGGTATAGATTAATGGAAATGGATTAATTTAAGCTGTAAGAACAGTTAGCAAGAAGCCTGCCACGGCCATACAGTTTGTAACCAATATAAGTCTCTGTGTTTACTTGGTTGGGTCTGAGAAGCTGTGGGACTGGCAGGTGAGAGAGATTTGTCCTGACTGTGGGCCAGGCAGGAAAACTTTAGCTACAGTGACAAAAAAGTCATGTGGCTGGGCTTAGAGCCAATGAAAAGGCAGAACAGAAAGACAATAAAAACACAAGTCAGACAGGAAGAAGCTCTTTCTGGGGAAGTGACGACGGCGGCATGGTGGTAAGATAAGGTAGTTGTGACTCTTCTCTAGTGGTCTGATCTCTTTGGCTATTACCTCTGTATTTGGCCCTGTGTTTCTTATTTAATAAGACTGTTTAGACATTCATCTACACCCAACAGCTTTTGGGAGCCAGGGTGTGTCAGCACTTGGCAAATTTATTCTTGGGTATTCTCGGAATTTTTATCTCTTCCCTGGTACCCCTTGAATGCCACAGATGACACTTTCGCCTGTGAGGTCAGGAGCCTTGTTCTCCAGATGCTTAATTTTAGTCCCATGCTGGGGAGGTTTGAGGGACAAGAGACGGATTTTGTTCTGTGTCTTGAATTTTTTTTTCCTTGATGTTTGCTGGCTTGAGGACAGCTTTTGGAAGACTTGACTGAAGGCAGGCTATAAACTGATCTCTGGCTTAAGAGCCATCCTGACTACTGTAAACTTATTTGCATGGATGCTAGCCCACTTCCAGACCCATTTGTGCCTCTCACTGCAGCTTGAGAATGACTGGGAGGAGTTAAGTTGAGTTAAAGTGAGAGTCAGCAGAAGCGGCCTGCACAACACTGGAGAGCCCGCCCACTTGTTCAGGAGTTAAGGTGAGGTGGGTTAAAGCCTGCCTACTACCGGAGCAGAAGTCAGATAGACAGAAGTGGTTGCACGTGGCTGGGGCCGTAGGGGGAGGGAGAAGGATTCAGAGCTTCAATAGAAAGCTTGGGGATGAGGTAGCTCTTTTAATTTGCCCGTTCACTGGCAGAAGTTCCTGCAAAGCTGTTATGCAGCCAAATTTACTGGTATCCGCCAAATTTACTAGTATCCGCCAAATTTACTAGTATCCGCCCCTTTGTCCCATGGCTGCAGCCGAGAGAGAAAAATAAAAAATTAAAATAACAAACCGGGATCCTAGGCTCCTATCTCAAGCGTCCCTGAGACAGAGGAAGGATCTACGAATCAGAACAGGTATGAGTAAGGGCTGGGAGTGAACGCAGCATGTGGACCACCCGGTAGTCCAACAGCATCCTATACTTGGTCAAGACAGAAAGTGTCCTTGCCTGCGCAGTTCGAGGACCCTGAGGTCTGGCACAAATAATATACCTGAGGCTGCAGAGCCGTGGGAAGGGACTCACCATTCACACCTGTGGTGGAGATGCAGGGGTGGCAGGTGTGGTGTGCAGTCAGGTCCTCGGCTAGGCTTTTGGCATTCAGCCCTGGATGCTAAGTGTGCAGAATTTCCTATCTGAGTCACAGCACCAACGATGGTTAAAACGGTGCTGGTGGGTTGGCGGACAGTGGAAAAGTCACGGGTCATGGCCACCAGAGTTAGAAAGAGCTTTATTAGAAGGAAGCCAGGCCTGGCAGGAAGGAAGATGGCGGGACCAGAGCGGGAGAGGCACAGAGAGGAAGCACAGAAAGAAAGGGTGGGGGTCCGCATCCGGCTTTTTAAAGGCAGTATGTCGACTGCGTTAGACCTTGGCTGCACATGTACAGAATCCTAACAGCCATGACTGGTAGATGTAGCTGAAGAGAGTAGAAACACATGCGAAGAGTAATCAGCTAGGACGTGAAAATAAGTGTGGTGGGATTCTGAGGAGGGGGGCACGTTCCTTCAGCTTAGTCTGGCCCCTTTCTGCAGCTGGGTTGGGAAAGAGCTAACATGGTTCTTTTTTTTGTTTGTTTTTTTGAGACAGGGTTTCTCTGTGTAACAGTCCTGGAACTCGATTTATGGACCAGGCTGGCCTTGAACTCACAGAGATCCGCCTGCCTCTACCTCCTGAGTGCTGGGATTAAAGGTGTGCACCACCAAGCCTGGCTATGCTAACATGGTGCAGACGGGTGGAGTAGAGGAGTGAGAGTGAGGGGCTTCTAGGTCTAGCAGAAAGCTGAAGGGGTTAATGATGCAATTGTGAGCTACTGCAAACCTCTTTCCATCTTTGCCTCCCCTCCAAGAAACCCTCCATGAGAGCAAAATACTGGTACCTCTCTGTTTACCTGTATCACACATCAATTATATACTTGTTGTTTGGGGGGTTTTCATTTAGTGTGTGTGTGTTACTTTGCTGTGGGATGTTCTGTATGTTAAATGTGTTGCTCTGATTGGTTAATAAATGAAACACTGATTGGCCAGTAGCTAGGCAGGAAGTATAGGCGGGACAAGCAGAGAAGAGAATTCTGGGAACAGGAAGGTTGAGTTAGAGAGACGCTGCCAGCTGCCACCATGACAAGCAAGATGTAAGGTACCAGAAGGCCATGAGCCATGTGGCAACTTATAGACTAATAGATACGGGTTAATTTAAGATAGAAGGATTAGATAGCAAGAAGCCTGCCACGGCCATACTTTGTAAGCAATATAAGTCTCTGTGTGTTTACTCGGTTGAGTCTGAGCGGCTGCGGGACTGGTGGGTGAGAGAGATTTGTCCTGAACGTGGGCCAGGCAGGACTAGAGAAAACTTTTTCTATATGTCACTTAGACTTTATAGTTCCCAATTCATGCAGACTGTACCACTTAATGTTCTCATTTTTACATTTAATCTCTCCTTCCTCCTCCCTTTGTGTGTGTGTGTGTGTGTGTGTGTGTGTGTGTGTGTGTGTGTGTGTGTGTGTGTCCCACACGTGGAGGTCAGAGGACAACTTCTAGGAGTCATTCTTTCCTCCTACCTTGTGGATCCTGGGGCTCAAACACAGGCTCTTGGGCTTCCCAGCAAGCACCTTTACCTGCTGAGTCAGTCATCTCACTGGCCCATTTTTAAGGAATAATCATTTCTAATAAACGAAGAGCTTAACTGTTCAAGGTAGCAACACCCCTTGGCTTCCACTAAACAATATATATGACTTGTTTCTAAATGCGAACACCTTTCCTCACTGAGGTCTACAGTCGTGTGTGTTTGGTTTCCAGCCATAGGCTCCTGGAGCAGTGGGTGCTGGAAGCAAACCTTTATCAGCTCTGGCACAGAGACTGGAAACACCATCAGTGTTGATGGAGAGCTGAACCCTTCAGCTGGAGGCGGCCAGGGAACTGTTCAGAAGCCACAGAAACTGGAGTTGTGAAAATGCAATTATTTCTGTCCCACCTCTAAACAGTAAGGGGAGTGATTGTGGATCTGGCTTGCCAGGGCAACGTCAAAATGGCCGAGGAGAGAACAGATTGGTAGCAGCAGCTGGTGGAGAAAAGGCCCAACAGAGGGACAGGTGAGGGCTGACCAGGTGCCTCAGCAGGGAAAGGCTCTGGCCCTCAGGATGGATGGCCCAAGTTCAGTTCCCAGGACCCACGTGGTAGACGGAGAGAACTGACCTCCACATGTGCACTGTGGCACAAACACACACAAATGTACATTAAAAAAAATTTAAGAATTATAAAAAAATTTAAATAATGGATGATAATGTGGGTTAACCAGGACTGCCTCTGCCCCTTTTTAAATTCAGGAGATGATGCCAACACGAGTCTGACTCTCAGGGCATTACCATAAACAAAAGAAGATAAAAATGAATATAAGTAAACACCAACAAGGGTTTCAAAGCAGGCAATGCCAAAGTGCCCAAGGCACAAGGTGTAGGCTTACACAAAGGCAGGACCAGCTAAGGGGTCCACTCACTAAGGTATAAAGAAAATTCATTTGCGGAGGGCAAAAGTCAAGGCCGAACAGATGTGAGTCAAGATGTCCCGCGTCAGAAAAGTTCACCTCAAAGTGCACCTTTTCTGTTTAGGGAACAGAAACAGTGACTTCCTTCTCACATGTCCTTTGGTGGCAGTGTACAGCAGAGAGAGAGAGAGGGGGGGGGGGGGAAGAGAGAGAATATGACCACAGATGAGAGAGAACTTTGCTCTCCTTCAAGACTTTTTCTAGAAAAGTTTAATAATTAAGTAAATTGCCTGCCTGACGGTGCTTCCAGTACCTACATATCTGGGGTTTAAAGCCATATGTAAATACATCAATTTGTGTGTTTCAGTTTTTGTTTTGCAGAAAGTTTACAAATGTCCTTTTTGTTTTACAGAAAGTTTACAAATGTCCTTACACTAATACAAAAATTAACCCATTCTTGAACCAAGAATTCCCATGGTGCACAAGAAAAAAAAACAGATTCTCTACTTTAATTACTATATTTTCTACTGAATTGTTATATATTTTTAGAAGGAGAGAAATCAGAGCAAATATTTCTTGGTATTTTTTTTCCTTTTGGAAAATTTTGTGTATTATTCTTTTTTTTTGAGTTAGGGTTTTTCTGTGTAATCACCCTGGCTGTTCTGGAACTTGCTCTGTAGACCAGGCTTACCTGAACTCCTAGAGATCCACCTGCCTCTGCCTCCCAAGTGCTGGGATTAAAGGTGTGCACCACCACCACCCAGCTTGTATTATTCTTTCTGCCTGTTTTTCTATAAAAATAAAATGTGCAGATATCTGTTCCTTGCTATAAAAAGAGAAGTTATGGCAGTTTTATAAATGTTATAAAATTATGTTTATTGGATTGAGAAAATAATTAAAATCATGACTGATTTGCAACACCCCCTCTCCAAACTCAGCAACAGTAACAACAACATAAAACCAGCAACTGGAAAGAACATTTTGAGTTTGTTATGGAACTCTAGTCCTTTGCCCCTAAGCATTTGTGATAAAGCAATCAGGGCCTCTTAAAAACTCATCAAGCTAAGCTTCTTCCTCACATCTTCAGGGCAGGTGTCTTTCTTCCTATACCTTGTCCCTTTGCTGAAGGACAAAGAGGACCACCTGTTGGAAGCTGTAAACCCAAAGGCTGTTTTGTATCTTGCTGGGGAGATTGTGGTATTCTGGCTTTCCAGAGGGTCAGGATGGTTTGCACAGTGTTCTGGAGTGCTTTATAAAAACACAAGGCCTCCTCCTAACCCTCTTTACATAAAATAAACACGGTAATGTTATCTAACTTAAGCTATAAGGGAACTGAGGTGATTTTGCTTAGAACTCTAGAAATTTAATGTTTACTTTTATTTCACAATTTCTGAGTTTGAACACTTTTTTTCTATTAAAATTATAAGCTAAATAGTTAATAAGGTAATTATGAGCATCTCTGCATAGAAGCCTGGGGTTAGAAAAGGAACAGAAACAATTTTCTGGAGATAAGATATTACTGTTCCCAGGCCCTTTGCTTTGTCTTTGTGACTGGACCTTGGATAAGGCCCAGAAAAGGAAATGGACTTTTCTTTCTGTTGCAGTTGGTGAGACTTTCATTTCTCTTGCTTATTGAATAAAAACATGCCTCTTGAATTGTTGCAGTCTCTCCTCTACAGAACTCTCAAGCTCACTGACAGGACAGAAGCAAATTAACCTGAACGCTCATCCACGGCTCAGCACAAACGACAACGACATGGAGCTTTGAAGGTGACAGTAGCCTGGTGTCGGCCATGGGTCATCAGGACACAGACGGACCATGTGGACCACTTTCTTCAAACTACGAGTCTTCTGCTGTCTGTTTGCGGTGCTAATGGTGGTGGTGTTGGTGGTCAATATCACTCAGGTGGAGGTGAGTGCTCAGATCTGGAGGTTTGGCTCTCAGTAGCCTGAGGTCATCAAGCATCTTAGGCCAGTTGTATCTTTTCCTTGCTGTGGTATGTATGTGAGCATCTCTAGCATCCAGCCGCTGTGCCAGTCACTGTGGACCCAGGAGTGAAGACTGGGTTTCTGTTGTGGAGCTCACATCTGAGTGTATGTGGAAGAAAATACAGAGAACACTTATCTGAAATGCTTAGACTAGATGGAATGTGCCATATTCTGGAGCTTTTTATTTACAAAGAAGATAGGTTCATTTAGCTTACGAATATTAGAAATTTTTGGATTTGGGAGATTGTAGCATGAATCTTAAAAGTTCTTATTAATAAAATCAAACCTGAAGCCAGTTATTGGGGTGAACACTGGATGATCAGAGAAGCAGAACAAGCCACAGCTATCTCACCTTGCCAATTCCTCAGTTGGTCCTGTTTCCTCAGACTGGAAGCTTCTGTGTCCTCATCCCAATGGCTCTCAGCTGAACTGCTGCTAGAAGTCTGAAGCTTAACCAGCTAAAAGCTTAATCAGCCAAATGCTTAACCAGTCAAATGCTTCTTGTTTCTGGTCCTCAACGCCTTATAAACCTTTCTGCTTTCTACCACCACTCCCTGGCTGTTTCCAATGCCGCCTTGAACTCACAGAGATCCAGAGGGATTTCTGTCTCTGGAATGCTAGGATTAAAGGCATGTGCTATCACTGCCTAACTAGTGGCTTTTCTGTTCTCTGACCCCAGATAAGTTTATTAAGGTACACAATATTTTGGGAAACACAATACCACAGGAGATTTATTTACTTGAGACAGAATCTCACTATGTAGCCCTAGCTGACATCAAGCTCAGAGAACTGCCTCTTTCTCCCGCCCTCTCTCTTTGGTTTTTCGAGACAGGGTTTCTCTGTGGTACAGCTTTGTCTGTCCTGGAACTCGCTTTGTAGAGTTCCAGGCTGGCCTTGAACTCACAGAGATGCACCTGCCTCTGCCTCCTGAGTGCTGAGACTAAAGGCATGCGCCACCACCTCCCTGCTGCCTCTCTTGAGTCTGGAATTAAAACACGCCCCAGCACACCGGGCTTGGGTTTGGGAGTTTTTTCATAGACGCCGCTGACCTAATGTTTGTCATGCGAAAATCTTGAAACTGAACACTCAGAAGTTTAAGTTTGGACTTTGGAGCATTTTAGATTTTGGTGTTTTGGATTAAGAATGTTACTGGATTAGGTTTCCATTGTTTATTTTACTTTACTGTTATTCCTTGGATGCCCGCCTGTTTCCTAAGGAGAGACAGAAACGTTGCTGCTGGGGCTGAGAGGGGAGGTAGGGAGTAAACAGGGAGGAGTAGGGGGAGGGGAAACGGATCAGAACATGACATTTTAAACAGATTTTTAAATCTGTTTTCAGTAAAAGAAAAAAAATTGTTACCTACAGTCATGAGTAGTAATCATAATTGGGGGCCAGAAAGGTAGCTCAGAGGTTAAGAGCACTGGCTGCTCTTCCAAAGGTCCTGCGTTCAGTTCCCAGCAACCACATAATGGCTCACAACCATCTGTAATGAGCTCTGGTGTTTGCTTTCTGGCAGGCAGGCGTACCATTCAGGCAGAACACTGTGTACATAGTAAACAAATAAATCTTAAAAAAAAACCAAACAACCATATTGGGTAATGTGGTAACAATGACTGGTAGTGCTTATGAAAGTGCTGAAAAGAAAAGAAAGGAAGTTGGAGGTCTCCCTTCCCCCACCTAGCCACAACCAAAGGCTAGCCTCCAGCTAGCTCTAGGCAGCCCCCAGCTCATCAGCTTGATCCCATTAACTCTAGCTTTTGCATCCCATACAGTGAAACCGCAGCTTCTAAGGCCTAGGCTACAGGTGGCTGCTTTGACTAGCCTTGCAGCTGACACTGGGGTGGCCTTGGTGGGGCCATCAGGGCAAAAGCCCAGTCAGCAGCTCTTCTTTTTCTGTGGGAGCAAGGAGAGTGGCGACCTCATGGCTGCCCTAGAGTAAGGAAGCGGGGTCTTCCCGAAGGAATGGACCGTGTAACCTGGCCACAGGCTGAAGGACAGATGCAGGGGAGAAACTGATGAGTCTGTTTTGAATACTGCTGTATGGCTGGAGGCAGGGACCATGGCTCTCGGAGCCCCTCACAAGTGCCTGAGAGACACTAGCCCTCTTCCCGACTCCCTCTGCTCAACACACATATGACCAAATATATGGAGCAGTTTCTACAGAAAAGATGGTAGCCCTTTTATTTTGTTGCTTGACTTGATTTTGGGATTTTTTTTTTTTTTTTAGGACGCAAGTCTTAGCTAAGCAGGGCATTTCTTTGCTTATTTGGGTTAGAACAAGAATTTCTAGAGGCTAAGCCATAGGCTTTTACAAAATTTCCCACTGGAAATGGTTTTGTGTTGTGGAGCAGAACACTTGCTTTCACTGTGAAATGGACACAGAGTCTTCCATGGTTTTTGCAAGCCTTTGGGTACTTTGAAGAACACGAAGTGATTCTGTTCGAGATTAACATCTTGAAGATTAAGCCTAACAGCTAGGAACTGATCCCTTTTATTTGCTTACACTGTTCTCATATTTTGCTGCAGGCAAGGCAGTGTTGGCACCATATTGACAATGCCTTCCACCTGAGAGCTGACAGTTATCAATATACATCTAGGTATTGTGATAACAGAACACAAGAACTTACAATACCTTTTTATTATTTTAAATCTCTGTCTCAGTCTCTGACTGTCTGTCTGTCTGTCTGTCTCTCTCTCTGTCTCTGTGTCTCTGTCTCTGTCTCTCTCTATCTGTATGTGTGTTGAGTGTGAATGCCCCTTGCCACAGCATGCATGTTGATGTTGGAGGACAATATTGGATATTGGTCCTCACCTTCCACTTTGTTTGAGACAGGGTCTCTTCGTTGTTCTTCACTGGGTCCACTAGTCTAGCTGGCCTGTGATCTTCCAAGGAGTCTCTTGTCTCCACCTCCCATCTCACTGTAGGAGTAGGAGTGCTGAGATAACAGATACCTGCTATTGCATCTGGCTCTACATGGGTTCTGGGGATTCAAATTTAGGTTCTCAACCTTGTGTGGCAAGAGCCATCTCCCCAGTCCCAGTCATTCGAAGTGAACATTTCAGTGGAATTAAGCACATTCACATTGTGCAGCTACTCTACTGTCTGTCTCTGGAACTTCATTTTTGTCTTCCCAGAATGAAATTCTAGTACTGTTATACCTAATTATCAATTTTCTGTCTCTATGAATTTCATGAGTCTAAATGCTACACCCAATAGAATCACATGATATTTTGTGACTGGCTTACTTCTGTTAGTGTAAGGTTCTCAAGATTCATTTATGTTGTGGCGTGAATCACAATTTTCATTCCTGGATAGGCTCTCATCTTACAGTCCAAACTGCCATGACACTCACTATGCAGCCAACGTGGCTTCAGGCTCTTGGCAATCCTTATGCCTCCGGTTCCCAAATGCTGGGGTTACATCTGTGAATCACCATGCTCCCTTAACCTTTGCTTTTTAGTTGGGGTGTTTAGACTCTTTATATTTAATGTATTTGTTGAGAGGATTATGGTTACACCATTTTGTTGTTCATATTCATCTTATTCTCTTCCCCTTGTCTGCTTTGTTTCACATTGAGAAATTATTTTAATCCATTTTATTTATTGCTTCTTAGCAATAAATTTGTTATTTTAGTAATTCTTTCAGGGCTTACAGTATATATATATATATATTATTTATATATATATATATATATATATATATATATATTTAGTATCACACTCTGTGGTCAAATGGTATTCCACCTCATGTAGTATAAACACCTTGCCACAATGGATATTCATTTCTCCTTTTGATTTGTGTGCTGTACTTTACCTCTGCATGTTATATGCCCCCCAATTGTTTAAAAATTGTTTTAACATAGTCTTTAAGAATAATAAAAAATGTGGTATCAAGTATTTAACACACGACTTTGCTTTTTAGCAGCATTCATTCTTGTTTGTGGATCTCTATTTCAGTCTCATAATAGTTTCTTTCTTTTGAACTGTCTTGACATTTCTTCTGGTGCAGGTTTGTTGGTGATAAATGTGTTCACTTTTGTTAGATTTGAAAAAAATCCTATATAGCCTTTAAAAATATTTACTACAGCTTTGGCTTTAACATAGTTTTAGGGTTATAGAAAAATTACACTGAAAGTAGAGTTCTCACATTGCCCCTCCTCATTCCATGTTACTAAAATATCGCACTTGTGTGATTTTTTATTTTCCCCGAACAGTTTCTCAACCACATCTGTGCTACCTTTTTTTTTTTTTTTTTTTTAAATCCTGGTGTGATCAGACACCAGATGGCCTGGGAATTGAACCCGGGTCCTCTGGAACATCAGTCAGTGTTTGCTTAATTGCGGAGCCATCTCTCTCTTCCCCCTCCACATCTGCTCTACAACCTCAGCTTCATGCCTCTATTTTGCTCCATTGCATAGCTTTGCCATAGTTTATTTAATATCCAATTGATGGATTTTTATTTCCAAGGACAGTGTAGTAGTCAGGATTCTCTAGAGGAATAGAAGTGATAGAATGACTCTGTGTGTGTGTGTGTGTGTGTGTGTGTGTGTGTGTGTGTGTGTGTATGTATATACATATATATGTATCTATCTATCATCTATGTATATATGTATGTAACTACCTACCTACCTACCTGTCTGTCTGTCTGTCTGTCTGCCTGTCTGTCTGTCTGTCTTCCCTGTTAGTTCACCAGCATGGTGTACGTTCTTCCTATTTCTATGGGAAATAAGGCTCACGTAAGTTCACAAGGTGATGGAGAAGAAGCAAAGCATATGTTTTTCTGACTGTTTTATCTACTGTTGATGCCACTTCCTTGATCAGAACTAGGGCATCTAGCCATCATGAGATGTAGGCTGCTCATTTCTCAGATATTAAAGCCAAAACTCAGTGGCTTGGAAAGTTCTTATTAATCTGGTCTTCTAT